TGTGTGTATGTAAATGTGTGTGTGTGTGTGTGTGTGTGTGTGTATATATGTTATTTACAAATCGACATGCTACAAACTGGCTCCTCTTCCTCCGTTTCATCCCCAGAGTCAGAGTCCTGGTTGGAGCCGCTGTGGATCAGCTGTGAGCCTGTTTCTCTGCTGGGTCCTCTTACTCCTGTCCTTTGAGCTCCCCAACTATCATAAAAATATTATATATATACAAATTTCATGTCGCAGTTATAACGGCCAAATTAATTGCGATTCACGATATTCTTGTGATAATCTTCAAAAACTCACTGGAACCACTTTACCTCACATTTAGTTACAAAACACACATTTTTATTGGCTCACTGCTTGTTGTTCTTTAGCTTTGAATCCATAATATTTCCACATATCTGGTTTATTGGACGGGTGTTTTTTTTTATCACGATACGCGATAATATCGTATACTGTTTCGAGTTTGTTCCAAGAAAACTATTTGTATGTGTGGTAACACACGTCTGGAGGGGATCTTTAACCTCCTTTTGTATTTTCTTCACAGGTTTGAACTCTTACTCAGCGAGAAGCACCTGTTGAGAATGGCCAACGACAGGGATGCCAATGAGAGCACCCCTCTTTTGGACTCAGACTCTGGGAACAGACCTCCACCACCGTCAGTTTTCCAGGGAAGGAGACTGGCATGTGCAGCCATCCTGCTGGCTGAATCATTAGAAAGGATTGCGTTCTACGGCATCACATCCAATCTTGTCCTTTTTCTCAATGGTAGCCCCTTTTATTGGGAGGGCACTCAGGCGAGTCAGGCGCCTCTGATGTTCATGGGAGTTACTTACCTGATTTCGCCCTTCGGAGGTTGGCTGGCGGACGCATACCTTGGGAAATTCTGGACAATTGCTTCAAGTTTGATCCTGTATTTTCTTGGCATGCTATTTTTCCCTTTCATTTCAAATGAAGGCACCAGGATACAGCTATGTGGAGAAGAGGTGGCGTTTCCGGTGCAACCTGCGGAGTGTCTGAGCACTAACAGTACCCCACCGAGCAATGTAACCTGCCCCATTCGTGCCCCATATTGTGGCCCAGTAGTCTACAGCGGGCTGTTTTTAATTGCATTAGGTGTGGGGACTGTGAAGTCCAACATCACTCCCTTTGGGGCAGATCAGGTAGAGTATGAACCACTTTCACATCCTAAAAGTCTGCATCAAATAAAGAATGCTAAAAGGATACAAAGAATTCATTATGGTAGGAAAGCCTTTGGATAGGATGTGTTTTCTTACACAGGCCTGTATAAGATTGGGTATGCAGTGTAACATCATGAACATGTGATGGGATTTCTCACAGTTCCCTTAGACACGCATGCCTCTGATCATCATGGCAGTTTATAGGTATTTCTATTATAAAGTTGACTTTAGACTGCATTTAGAGCCCCTTTATTTCTCTCACTCACACTAATGTACACAAACACACGAGCACAATGCCTGGGATTATACGTTGGTGGTAAAAAGAAGTGAAACACAACACAGTTTGTTGGCCAAATAATGTAAGATTATACAGATGAGCCGCTACAACAGGGGTCCCACACTCTTCTAGGGTTGGGGCCACTGCTGGTATTGCCACTTCCATGTTCAAGTACTACAAGAAATTGCAATATTCCAGAAATCCCCCACTGTGCTGACAGTTTGAGACCCCCGCTCTACAAGAAGCAGCCATAGAAATGGGAAAGTTCATCAATGGGGTGATTGTTTTTCAAAATAATCTAACCAGGGGTGGGTAAAAGCTTTCAAAGGGAACTGGCGTGGTGAATATGATTAGTACTTGAGCCCACTAGGCTCATTACAAGATTTTCACATTTTTGTCAGTGCTCCCTTTGAACATGTTCAAACGCACACAATACACAAACAACATCAAGCAAAATCCATACATCGGAGGGAAACAAAAGAGAAACACAGAACCTCTTACAGCAGCACACGACAGAAAAAAACAGCAATACATAGAATAAACCAGCTTCATTTTACCGGTGCCAGTGGTTGTTAACCTGAAAATCATTATAAGACTTGACAAAACATGTTTTTAGTAGTGAAAATGTAATAGGAGCTCAACTCTTTGAGGCACAATTTTCCCACTAATTCTCCTCCAGCTGAAAATCCTAATTAAGTGGGGAGAGGGAGCTGTTAATACTTGAAATGTGCAAGGTTTGAGTAAAATTGAAAAATTTCCTGTTACATGCGGCTCGATTTCTGTCTAAGAAATAATTGCATCCTCTTGCAGAGTGAAAATTGCCACAGTCAGTTTTGTAAGTTTAAAGAAAAAAAATATTAATATACAATTTGGGCATCGTAATCATGAAGTAAGAGTTTTACTGGGGCTGCTGTTGCCTCTGTGTAGGAGTGGGTGGGGGAAAGATCTGATTTTTGTCCTGTTATGAGTCACTGCAGATGTAATGTCTATCAGCCTATGACCAATGTAATACTAACTCACCATATTCTGCATTTGATGGAGGGCCAACACTGAAACAAGACAGTAAATTAAATGTTTGTCTTGTCCCGAGGCTGGAGGGAACACAGCCGCTTATCGATCTTGTGTCAAAACTAAACGTACCCCCCCGCTCTATGTCTGTATTCTTTTAAAATGCAGTTGTTGGAAGCACATGACAGTCACCTGCTTAGTTGGAGCTTGATGACTAATTTTCTAACTGCACTGAGCATCCGCAGAGAGGAACCCCAGAGAGATTTATGCTCCGCCTCGGCTCGTGAGTGCCGTGACATTATCTCCCCAATAGTTAATTGTAGCTGTACCGCTGTATCTTCTGTGCTCGCATATAAAAGACATATCCACTTCATCACACGCTGATATAATCTTTTCCTCCACGAGGATAACTGTATGTGGAATGGATCAGTGCCATTATGAGAATAATATTATTTGCTTGCATAGACATTTAACTGAATTTATTGCTGTTTTGGTAAGCTAATGGTGTAGGCTATCATAGCAGATTCTGTAAGAATTTTCTAAGCCACAGTAAGCTGATAAAGAATGAACCAGAAGTTGCTGTTTATTTTGGTTTTTCTCCCCGACATAAAGGAGAAAAATCTCCTGTTGCTTCTACCAACTTTATGCGGCTGTAGACAGTCCAGGCAATTAATTCAATAATGGAAAACAAAACCCCAATGTGTGGACTGAAACTTGACTTCACATCCTTGTCAGTTTCAGCTTGTGATCGTTGTTCCTCTTTATCGGCGCAGCTTGTCTTCTCTGTCATGTACTGTCAGGATTTTTTATTTTTTTTCAAGCTATTTAACGTTTTGTTGACTAATGGAAGTGCACTTTAAACGCTAAAGATTCGGTCCGCCTGGAGCTATTTTCCTCATGTGACTTTGAAAACTTGCATATCAAAGTGCTGATGAGCACACTTCTTTTACAGCTGACAAAAGCTGCTAGTTGACAGTCAAAGTGGTGTGACACACAGCTGCGGCAATGTTCAGAGTCCAAGGTCTTTTATATACGAATATAAAATTGCTTTTCTCCCTGTATGTTGTACCAACTTACAGTTAGCACTTAGGGCTGCAACTAACGATATTACAGCCATTTTATCAATTAATCAAGCACTAGTTTGGTCCATAAAATGTCTTATCTTGTTTCATCCAAACCTCAAAGATATTCAGTTTACTGTCATGGAGGAAAATAGTCACATTTAAGAAGCTAAAAACAAAGAATTTGGAATTTTTTTTCTTAAAAAATGACTCAAAATGAGTTAATAGTGTACAACTAATCGATTAATCAACTAACTGTCACAGCCCTGCTTACAACCACATGACTGATTGCTGTCACCCTGCACTGTGTGTTATCTCAGGTGAAAGACAGAGGACCAGAAGCCACGCGTAGATTCTTCAACTGGTTCTACTGGTGCATCAACTTAGGAGCCATCCTGTCTCTGGGAGGTGTGGCCTACATCCAGCAGAACCTCAGCTTTGAGCTCGGCTACATCATTCCCACCGTGTGCCTCGGCATCTCCTTCCTGGTCTTTCTCCTGGGCCGCACCGTCTTCATCAGCAAGCCCGCTGACGGCAGCGCCTTCACAGATATGTTCAAGATCCTGGGCTTCGCCTGCTGCTCCAAGAAACCGAAGGAGCCCAACCTGCTCCGGTGAGAGCGGCACGTCACGTCTGTCATTTCAGAGCATTTTATGTAGCGATGGTAAAAAGATAACATAAAACTGTATTGTCAGGCAATAAAAGTGGTAAATTCATTCCCTCAATGACAAACAGCACGCTCACAATAACTGTGGTGTAGCAAAGCATTCATCAGTATCAATGGGAAGGCTCTTTCCAACAGGAAAGCAAGTATTTTTGTTCATGGCAAAGTTTAGTGGGATGGTGACTCTGATCCAGCGGGGAAACACAACTAGGTGTTGTTGGTAGACCTTTATGTTGAAGCCTCCTTTGATCCCCCTGTATAATTCCCCCCCACTGGTCCAGGCATTCATCTTCATTCCCTGTGGTGAAAAGTTATTCTAAAAGTGCTGTTACTTGACTTTGAACAAAAGTAGCACAATTGGTTCAGAAACTTGACATTGAATATTTTAAGTTGGCCAATCCTGCAGCCTTCCAAGAATTCCTTATTAAGACATTTCCTCCAGAGATGGGGATTATAGGCTTTAGAATAAAGTTTTTTTCCTATCTCTAGAAGTGCTGTTATTTAAGGGTGAGATGTTCACAAAAAAGGCTTTTTTAAGACTCACACTTTAAGAGTTTAGAATAAGTCTAGTATTCTTTATTTATTTCTGTTTCTTTTATGCCATAAATCATACTCTAGTTTTAAATAGTATTTTTTGTTCTTATTTATTCCCCTGAAGCAACAAACCAACACTACTAGACAGCGCCAAAGTGACCTATGGTGGAAAGTTTTCAGAGGAGAAAGTAGATGAGGTGAAATCCCTGGTGAAAATCCTCCCTGTGTTCTTTGCCCTCATCCCGTACTGGACTGTGTACTTCCAGGTAAGATAAACCCATTTCACACTTAATCAAAATGTATGAGCCATGTTTCACACAAGATGAAAAATATGAAGGAATTTAATACGACAATATGAGTTTGCCGGATGCAGATATGCACACGCATGTGTTAATATGAGAGGGAAGATGATTTTCTGTTTCAATATTGGAGAAGAATGGTTTTGCGGCAGACGTCCTGGTGATCATAAAGTGGAGAATTACTTCATGCTGAGACTCTAATCTCCTTATTGCGTTGCAGATGCAGACAACCTACATCCTGCAGGGCCTCCATTTGAGGATTCCTGATAGTGCCTCAAACAGCTCTGCTGACCCCCACCAGGTAAACCTAAGTGCAGACACTCTGTCCAAGTGCCTGTTTCTTGTTTAATTAAAAAATAGCCTCAGTGTGTTGACATCTGCGGCTTGACAGTGTGATTGGTTACATGTTAAACAACTACTGTATGAAGCCCTTGAGTAAATCATACCAGTTTGCTCCAAACTAGATTTCAGTGCTGAAACTAAAGGAGTCAGTAGGTCACTGCAAAACAATGGTAGGCAACAGCTGGAGGCAGCAGCAAACGTTGATAATGCCTTGGGGATTAAGTCAGAACTTTACCTCACAGACTAATACCTCTCAGATTAGCAACCTGGCTGAGATTTTACCTCCAACTGATTCTTCCTGAGTACTGTTGCTGGTGTTTCACTCTGACACATTGGATGTTTTGTTCTGGAGGGGCCTTGATGACTGAATCCCCTGTAGTAACTCCACGTGATACGCGACTCCTCAAATATCAAAGGTTTAAAAATGATGAAACTGGAATAGACTGGGAAGTATGAAATGTACAGTACGCCTGGTCTTCCTTTTGAACAAGCACGTTTGATGTGATAGTGAAGTGCACCGACTTCATGGAAATGTGAAGTGAAACCCTCGCCTGTAAACCGCACAATCGAACCCCCTGCTGTATTAATGACATATACAGTACACACACACATATATTCTTACATTTCACAATAACATGCACTTGACTTGTGATTATTGTGAATTTCCCAACATAGTTTTATTCACTGATATCCCGTTGTGTTGAAGAACTGTATTGTTATTTCCCTTCCATTCACACACGCTATTTAGTATCTTTAAAAAACGGAACTGAGCCTTTCCTGCTGCCAGCCTCGACACTTCGGAACATCAAAGGGGAAGTGAGATTACTGTAGATGCCTCTGTGATTTGCTCCCTCACCTCACCTGACACATTTCAATGACTGAGATGAACAAATACTGTCTGTTCAAAGAAGCAGAGCCCATACTGATGATGATGATAATAATAACCTGGAATGGGAGGCAGCAGTGTGTTGTAATTGGTTATAATTAGATTACATCCTGAGTTTGCTACATGTAGTTCATGTATCCGTGAATGTCCAGTTAATGCTTTTTGAAGGTATTTGTACGTTTTTAAAGTCTAAACCTGCCTTCATATATCTTTATGGTACTCTGTGATGCATATGGAGAAGTGCTTGGCTTGTGACTTTTTATATACAAAGGAAACTCAACTCAGGGGGTGTTTTCAAAATAACACTTTTAAGCAGAGTCCATTTTTCCCATCTTACATTTTTCAATTCTGATATATTTCAGTGTCTGAAAAGGTAAAATTATGCAATATTCCACAAAAAGCAAATATTAGAGAATTGTCCGAAAGGTAAACAGCAGAAATGTGCCATGGTAACAACATGGTGAAAGATTGTTGGTTATCATATTGTGTGTATTTACTCACGTACGGTATTGAATTCTATTGTATTAGTGTTATTGAAAAACATAGAACACAATATGAAAGTGAAAGTATAGTTTTAATTCCTTTAAGGCTCATTGTAATCTATAGTAAGATAAGTGTGTAATACCGTTGTACTGTAAAACCGTGATGAGCCATGCTATGGAGTATATATAGAGTATATGCGTGCAGTACCTACGTACAGTACGTGGTCCATTTGGGGAAGTGGAAAAAGCGGTGCGTCATGCCCACCACAGACCCGGGCCTGTTGGGACACTTCCGTCATTCATGCCACGCTTTCCTTGGCAAAGGAAAAGTCTCTGTTAGAACTTTCTATCATTTTGAATATGATAATGCGCAAACAAGGGAGGAAAACACTCTCTAAGGAGCTGCGTATAGATTGCCAGCGGTGACTCCAAGAAATGGAAATTCAATTTGAGAATAAATGATGCTATCAGAAGTGTTAAACCAGAGACACATCAGGAGCTCAGATGGCACTTGGAATTTGAATTGCAAAAAACATCTCCAGCAGTTTGCAGTCTTTCATTGCTCACTGAATGAGATATTGCCTTAACTTGTAGATGCTTTGTTTGCTCACAATGGATTTTCTCTCTGATTGATATGTCTTCTACTCTGTTTGCTCGGTGTAATTATTCCTTTCATAGATTACACTTTATAGTATTAGATTTAGATTTTTGTTGAAAACATTTATTTTGAATTAAGTCAAGTACACTTTGTCTTATGTGCCACTTACTCATATAAAAAACAACAATACTACGACTATGACAATAGTAACAACAACAATGGTAATTCTATGATTTACTGACATAAATGAAGGACATTTTATTGATTTGACTGTGTGCTTTCTTTTACTGTGAATTAAATAAATACTTTTCATTTTATTATGTTTGGTTTTGTCCACCAGGGGGTGCCAAAGCAATATCAAGCCCCTAGTACACACACTCTCACTCATATACACATAAACACTTGGTGAATTGTGTTGGAATGCACTGATATTCTTTGTAGTTTTCATGCTTTGTTGCCTTTCGCACAGTTTTACCTCCTGTTTCTCCTCTGCATCCCCACAGATGACGTTCCGCTTCCCGGCTGCCTGGCTCACCATGTTTGACGCAGTGCTCATCCTTATGCTGATTCCCCTTAAGGACAAAGTGGTGGACCCCATCCTGAAACGCCGCGGCCTGCTGCCTTCCTCCTTGAAGAGGATTGCAGTGGGGATGTTCTTTGTTATGTGGTCGGCCGTGGCAGCCGGTGAGTGCACCGACAGACATTCCCTCTCCGTGCTGTCACATAAGTAGGCCAGACAAACGCTAATGAAACAACAAAGTTAGAGCTTGTGGTAAATGCCACACATGATCTGCACTTCCAAGGCAACGAGCAATACAGCTGTAGTTCCACATCTACATCATTTATTAATTTTATTGCTATATACTGTTTTTGGAGGACTTTTGAAACATGGAACTAATTTCAGTTTCTCACCAACAGTGGTACAAATGTGGCATGCTATACGGGAAATACTGTTGCTGGTTATTTAAGTATGATGCACTAAATCTTTTTTTTTTTACTAATTGTTATAACTAAATTGCCTTTACTGCTGTTTTCTTTTGGGACTCAGCAGATGGTCTGTCACAGATGTAGTAATTGTCCCTGAATCAACATTGCTTTCCACCTGGAAAAGGGAAAAAAGGCCCAAGAGGAGTTTTTTGCCCTGTAGCGCACAGGGGGAGCTGTGGCATCTCTCTTTTGGTCCTGAGTGACTGCACCCGCATTCAGTTGCACTGCTCAGTCCTATTCACTTCCAGCCTGTGGATTATTTTGGAAATAAAGTCTCAGCCAGGCCTGTCAGCGGGTGCTGCTGCATTGATACATCCAGGCTAAAATGTTTTGAGAGAGACAAGCCTGGAGGCAGGAAGAAAGCAAATCAGTAACACTCCTGAGAATCAATGCACATTATATTTTCTACAACCATTGCCCTTTCTCCTTTCTCAGATGCACAATACACCCGCCACATAGAATACGAACATGCTCTGTCATTAGTGACCTTTTAGATATTGACTGGTGTGCTTCAACCAGATTGCCAATTGACTGTTAAACATGCACTGAATCAAATTTGACAATGACTGGGAGGGATAATTAATTTTTTTTGTGAGTTTATTAAATACTTGGTTCATAAAAAATTAAATCAAGATAAATTAGGTCTACAGATGTTCAGCATATTAAATACAACAGATATATCAATATTATTGGATTGGCTACTAAGAGATTTTTGTGTCCAGATCTAGAAGCTCCAACAAATTTTCCCATTAATCATATTTGAGCATAACAACAATATCAGATAGTATTCGTTATGTAGCAGTTCTGTCTGTGTGTTCTACATGATCGAACACATAATTGCACATAATTGCAGCTGTCAAATAAGATCAAACCTACTGTACAGTCTGGTAAATCACATAATATAGTTATTATTTATTAGTGATTACTATAATTCTTGCTTTTTTATTGTCACCTGACAGCAAAATGTGTGAAAGGCCACATGGTCAATACACTATTTAAAGTTTATATATACAAAATTTACTTGCCACTCGGTGTCGCACTAGAACACCAGCATCTCAGATCAAAACCATGAGCGTTACGGGCAACCGGACCACAATCTTTCCAACACTCACCAACGCTGGTTGGGTCAAAATAAAGCCTTAATTCACAGAATTAGAAAACATTCACAAAAAGGGTTGCAGTGCCCACAGCGTTAGCCAGTGTTAACTCTTAAATTAACTTACACCCACAAAAAGGGCTTGTTGTTGCCACACTGAGAGGCTCAGATTGGTATTCTAAGTGTCTGACAACATAGCGGGAAAGGATCCCTACAGAGATAGACCTTTTGTTTATCTCTCGCCACCAGACTCCATAGACAAAAACAGTAATTTTACCTTGCATGTCATCGTAACTTCATTCAGTGGCATTAAACACAATAAATTCAACAAACCTGTCTTTGTTAGTCCTTCCACTGTGGTTGTGATTTTATAGGTAATGAGAAAGTTTGCTGAGGCAGAGTCTTCAGATGTTCTAGTCTGAGCGTTATGAAAGCCCAACTTAGCCCATCAGAAACATCCTTTTCAATCAGCGAGATGTGGTAAAAGGTCTAGTAACCTCATCTAATATGTCTAATGTGCTCGTTTTAAAGTAATATTTTCTTTTCAGAGGACATGAGAATTCCTAGAGCGAAAGGTGTTCAAACATGTTCATTTCTGATGTTCAAAAGCCATTTGAGTATTTACTTTTCCATTTGGCTTCTTGAAAGAAAGTGCAGTCCTTGCATTTGAATTCAAGCAAAATAAATTCAGAATATTGCAGAAAGCAATTTTGAGTCCTGGGAGTGGAAAGAAAGGGTTTACGATGGTGCAGTAGTGTGGCCATTGGTCACACAACAGTAGGTGAACGCACAGCTAGTGTGAAACACAGTTCTGACCTGGATTTGAGGAGTCAAATCAGGCGAGTGGATCAAATCAGTACGGTAGTGTACTTTGTAAAATGAGCTGCATTATTAATGATATTGTATCTCCGTCTTATTTTAACCATTATTCATCCAGGAATAATTTGCTGAGCCTCTGTGCTGTTTATCCCCAGCATTGCCTTGCTCCACACTAATTCAGTTACACACATTGACTCCTTGGAGCTGCCTTATGCTGTTGTTACATTTTGAACTGCATTTCCCTCAGCTGGCTTTCTGTGTGTCCTCAGTGTTTATCTTCATCTGTCCAATAGCTGGAATCATGTTGTGTTCATAGACTGACAGATGGTTAGCTGGGAACGACCGAGTGTGGCATCTTTTGCCCAGAGAATAGCCATCCAACACATCGCATTGTCAGCCTGCCACCCTGTGTCCACAACACTGGCCACACCACTGCTGTTCAGAGTTAGGATCACTCTCATCACCATGTGCACGAGATGTGCAGGACGATGCCATGATGACATTGGTGCAGCGATATTTCACAGGGTTTCGTCGCGCTCACTGACACAAGGACGGCTGGACCTCCATGCAGTGCAAAGGGACAGCTGAAGACACGCTGTCAAGCGGACACTGGAATGTTTTTGATCCCCTTTTCGTTTGTGTCCAACAATCTCAGACTTCAGCTGCATACTGGGGCCGGCTCTGAAAAGCTGTGCTGACATTGCTTTTGAAGATTTTTTTTTTTTTTTAGCATGTTTTATCACATTCTCTTAACTTTATGTCCTAATCTGCTTTGGTTAAAGCTCAATGGCTTTTAGGTGTCCACAACTGTCTTTTATAAAAGCTAGAGCAGAGTTGCCAGGGATCACACTGGGTTGTCTGATGTGTGATGTTTAGTAAGGGAAAAAAAAATTGGGATGTGTGTTTATAGTGAGAGTTGCTCTGGGCAGCCCAGTGGCCACACTGTTTGAGATGGAGGCCTGGTATTATAGGATAGCCGGATTACAAGGCTACAACTCCTCTCAAATACAGCATTAAGTGTAGTTATGATAGGAGGCTGTCTCTGGGAGTTATCTGGAAATAGCCGCTGGTTACACGATAATAGCTATCGAATAAAGCTTTTAGAAGGCGGCAGCAGTTGATGACAACTGCTTGGCTCTTATTATTGAACCGTCTACACTGATCCATTTCTAACTGTCATAATATATAAGCGTGCAGATGTGATCTTAATGAAGTGCTAGAGTAGCCTTAAAACTAGCTAAATGCTTAATGGACTGTCACTGAGTCCTCTAACTCTCTGGCTGTTTGTTGGTGTCATGGACTTTAGGGTGATAATTTAACGAGTGTTTCTTCATCCTGACTGAAAAATACAACCCTTTAGATTCACCCGATGTCCTATTTTTTTTTGGTATGTCTGTTGCAGAATTATAGCTTGTGTGTGTGTGTGTGTGTGTAGTATTTTAGGGCAATGTTTTGTCCATTTACCCTCAGCTAAATGTGCTCATGTTAATTGTTTCTGTGTCTGTCCCCTCAGGTATTTTGGAGACAAAACGCCTGGACATCGTCAGATCAAATGGTACCATTGACCAGGTGCTTGGCAACGTTATCTACTACGCGGCAGATTTGCCCATATGGTGGCAAGTGCCTCAGTATGTGCTGATAGGAATCAGCGAAATCTTTGCCAGCATTGCAGGTACAGTTGCTTGACTTCTGTGTCTCATTTAGCACTGCGGTCAGTTTGACATGATGATTCAGACTAATGGTAAAATACAGTATCCTCCAGTGATGAGCCTCATGCTTTCAGCCAGACCGATTCACATTCACACTGAGCCACTCTGAGTGGATTGTGGGCAAAAAAAAACGTAGGGCCCCTTCACCTAAGCAGAATGCAATGAAGACTAATGTCTAAACCCTTTTTGAACAGTTTGTTTGATTCATTGCCAGACTGCACCAGCCTAATGTGTTTACGGGTTGTAGTCCAGAGTAAATAGCGCAAGAAGTCGATCGATAATTGATTATCCTGATTTTCTCACACACTGCAGGACATTGTTCAGTAATGGGACATTTTATAAATAAGGTGTGGATAAAGTAACCTTTTAAAATTGAAATGATGATGATGACAGCTGTGCCAGAGACCCGCCTCACATTAGCACTCTTCCTCTGCTTGTTGTTCAGACAGATACAGTCAATAATAAGACGGATAAATACACAGATACATACCTTTTTACTATACCATGTACCCCTTAGGGTATAACCCATTGTGGCAACACAATTAACATTATAACATAAACTTTTCACTTCCATGTTTATTCAGCTGGTATGTTGACATTTAAAACTATGATCTTGTCAAATAAATATAAATGTATATAAATAAATAAATACCAGCATATGTAATAGTAATCACAGTGAGAGAGAGAGAGAGAGAGAGAGAGAGAGAGAGATAATACTGACAAATTGCACTGCACTGTAGTGCAAGTTCAACTCCTAATTATCCAATTAGCATGCTTCCCCAGCTGTTCATAGGGACATATTACACTTGAATACACAGAAAATGATGTTATGTTTAATTATCAGTCCAGCACTTTGAGGGTGCTGACAGTTGCATTTGAATGTAGACCAAAGAGGCTGAGAATCTGTCTTAAACATGAGCTCATTATAACGTCTAATGACTGTAGGAACAAAGGAAAAGTCATTTACTTACACTAAAGCTAACAGTATATTCATAGACTGTACAAGAAACAGTAGATGAAGCTTCCGGGTCTGAAAAGTGAAGCCCATATGGAAGTGCTTTAAATCTGCATTCTTCCTAATGGCCAGCAGGCTTTTTGCAACCATTGGTTGGTTCCCAAGCATGTAGCAGAAACTACGGTGGCCATGAAAAACTAGTGTCTGTTCTGGGCTACTGTAGAAACACGTTTAATATGGCGGACTCGGTTGAAGAAGCCCCTTTAGATTAAAACGTCTTATTCTAAGGTAAGAAAAACACAACAATTCTTATTTTCAGGTGATTAAACATTAATGAAAACATACATATGAATATCATATTTCATTTCAGCCAATAGATCCTCCTAAATGTTACACACTGGACCTTTTTTAATGTCTGATATCTGTTATGAATAATCTATCTGCTAACGGAAAATTGGAGAATATTTTTAGAAAACAGCACTTGGACCATCTTTTCACACTAGGAAGTTTATGAATTTTGCCCCAGGTCTGATTTGAATTCAGAGTTGTATTGCTGTTGCTGCTCAGATGATTCATTCCAGTAAATATCATTCTAAGACATATGCTCATCAATTTGAGGCCACCCATGATCCTTCACTGGAAATTTAGCAGTGTTTGCTTTCCCCAGAGAAATAGATTCCCTGTTCTTTTCTGGAAAATGATTTAAAAAGAAAAGCATTGGATCAAAGCAGGTCAGAGCAGTGCATGCTGGAACCGACAGCTGCAAACTTGTTTTTGATACTTTCAGGGAATCAGCTGAAAACTGTTCAGCAAGCCAGCTCTCATTTCCTTTCTTTTTTTTCTTGTCTTTTTTTGTGAGCCCTGACCTAAACAGGAAATACCATTTCATTAAAAGCTGTGAGAACTAAGGCCTTATTGCCCCAGCAATACAATAATGTGACAAAGTGAGAAATTGCTCTAATGTTATATCAAATTGCGTCCGCGAAATCCGAGACAAGAATGGAAACAACAGCGACAATATTCTCCTTTATTAAAAGAGGGGAGTTTGTGTCTGTGAGAAATGTGATACAGAACATTGCAATGTGGCAGCTGTGTCCCATTTTTATCCTACTCTGTACTCGCAATGCACAGCTGAAATCCGCCTTGTATTGTGTTTATCTGTTTTGTGTCTATATCTGTCTGTAAAGCTTTTTCTTTCTTTCTTAATGTCTTTTTTCGCTGCAGTCATGATCATGGCTCCAGGCCTCAATTATCTTAGTGATTCGAGTTTGTTAAGGCCTCCAGCCATGATTGAGTCATTCTCCTAATAGTAGGGGTCATTGGGGTTGTTGTAGGCTCTTCCACACAGCACTCACTTTATTTCTATATCAAGAGTGAAGATTGCACCATTAATATTTAGGAGTTTTCTCACCGCAGTGGAAGGATTATCCAGCCAGTCACTGCAGGGTTTCTGTAGGAATGAACAATCGTCATCTTTAAGTTTAAAACCAGTGCTTACTGAAATTTGTTTAATAAGCCACCGATATTATGAGCTTGGCCCTTGAACAGAACTACTTCCATAAAACACTGGGATTTGCACGAAACTATCAGGGTCCCTATGAAAGTCAAATCCAGACGTAACAAAGCTATAGGGATCCTTAAAATAAACGTACTCTCTTCTCTCCTTCCATACCATCCCACAGGGCTTACCTCAAGGAAAATTGGCTGACAGAATTGTGACATATGTCTGGTTAGGAGGAATATTTCCCCTTCCTCTGTTTGAATAAATCTGTTTAAAACCTCCGGTGCCTTCAAACTTCCCCGCTGCAATCCCCAGTCTTGTAGAAAGACGGGTAATTCTTTGCTCGTACACCACCCAAGTTAGTCTGCTGTCAGGCAATGAGAATTTGCAGAGAATTTGCAGAGAATTTTGTAAAACAATTCTCTACTATATTATTAATTACGTGTTGCACTTTTGAAAATGTTAAGGGCTAATATATTTTCTAAGAAAGAAAAATCACGCCTTCAGCCATGCCCTTGGGAGGAAAACATTCTATATACATTTTAAATTCCATGCTTTTCTTTTTCTTTTCTCACATAATGCTGTCTTTACATTGAGAAAGGTCAAGCTGTTTGCATGCGAGGCCAACCATTGACATCATGACATTATTGTCGTCAGACAAGAGCTGGATTTAACATAATGTTGCCTGCAATGTTGTTCTGTACTGTTCACTGTGCAGAGCTGTATCTGCGAATCCTCACCCAACCTTTGCAGTCCCCTGCGATATGCATAGCTATTGACCAATGTCTGTTTCTATCAAAAGGTTAGCTTAGGATATAAACAAATGTATCATTGTGAACTTCTGTAAAGGGCATTCATGTTTTCCACTGAGTAATAACCTCATGTTTGCCATGCTCTTATCTCATTCCTTTTCTGATGACTTCTTTTTTTGCACAACTAACACAGGTATCAGTAAGGAAACTGTGTGTGCAATGTCCCCCTCCAAGGAAGGTCTTAAACGGCGAATGTATTTAAACGCAGCTCCCTAATCTCTCCCGACAGAAGTAGCTATAGGGCCTCATTTGAAAAATCACATGTTTGAGGTGCCATGAAATTATCAATGTCAGCTTGCAGGCAGACAGATCTCTAGGCAAAAAAAAGATACATATTTGATGTTTTTTCTGGCATCTCTCTTTCTCTTAGGTCCCTTGCCCATTTTCCCAGTCCTTTTATTTCTTTCAAGACACAGTAAATACTGAGTGATGTGTTTTCCAGAAATAACTGTTTTTTGGAGACCAGTACCATGCAAAGTAGATCCCCAACAATGGTACCACAGACCAGTGCCACCATGGAAATGTATCTGTCAAGCAGCTGCAGAAGAAGCCTTTTGGTGTTGCATACAATATAGTAAAAGGAACCCAGTCACTGTCAACAAAAACCCATCATGGCAAATACATGGAAAAGACAGACATTATACCCAATTACATGGTGTTATCTTGTTTTGCTCGCAGACATGAACTCGTGACGTGTTCAGGAAAAGCATATGACTAAATAGAGTGATATAACAGGCTACATTACACTTTTATTTGCTACCGGAAATGCCCTATAAACTATTTTTACTCCCGTTGTTGCAGGTCTGGAGTTTGCCTATTCTGCGGCCCCGAAGTCCATGCAGAGCGCCATCATGGGGCTCTTCTTTTTCTTCTCTGGAGTCGGCTCCTTCGTGGGCTCCGGTTTGCTGGCTATCGTCTCCCTCCCTCAGATTGGCTGGATGTCATCCCACAGAGACTTTGGTAAGAGATACAGCAGCCTATAAATACACTCGTAATATATGCAGGCATTGTTGCAAACCACCACCAAGAGCTAGAAGACATAAAGTAAAGCAGCTGCAGTCTATATTTTTATAATAACAACGAATTGTAATGTGAAAGGGGTCACTCGTAATGATAAAGCCGCAGAGAATTTTCACCTGACTCTGCTGTTCCTGTCAGCTCGCCGGAGCTTTATAGCTTCTTTGAGCTCATTGTGTTGATTTTCCAGCCTGCAACTTTACTGTTTTTCTTCACTGTCATCACTCTCACAGCGTCATTTTTGGCCTCTGCAGGCAGCTGTTTTCAACATAGAAGCTCTAAAAACTCACTGTACACGACCTGCTCAGCCCCAAACACATACAGTAAGATTAGCAACTGGTTAACATAGTGGAGCAGCTAGGGAGCAAGTTATTTCCTTCAGAGTTAGTGGAGACCAAACAGAGCTAAAAGGAGTGAGAATGTTATGCGTGTAATCACAAATAGGCGACCAATGTGGGTTTTTCAATATTTAGAGAGCAGACAGGCTCATGCCCAATATATAATGCTGATATCAAAACAAAGAAAAGTCATGTATAATTCCATTATTCCATGCACATTACAATCTAATATATATGGTTATCTTCGCCACTAACATGTTGTTAGATGGAATAGAACAATGCATTGGGTTAGGGTGTAGATTTCAGAACATGACTGGTATTTAAGGGAGAGTGGAGTACGGTATCGTGAAACTGACGTCATTAAACTGCATTATTTTATACATTGTAATATCTATTTAACACCAGCCAGTAACAGCTTTAGATTAGATTACTTGTCATTTAGGGTGGAAGAAAGATGGTGACGGTTTAGCAGCAGCATGCACAAGAGTTGCAGTACAGGGCTCCAAACTAACTTTTTAACCAGCTTCCCAAAACTCACAAGGGGGAGCGCTAACATCGTTCCACAGCAGCCCAACACTGACAAGGCAGCCTGCAGACATTTTTTCATTTACCGCCCTCCCAAGCGCAGGCATCAGCCAATGCCGATCATCTCAAAATGCCAGATTAATCAGACTGATGAATCAATCTAGCACTAACAATGGTCAGCACAACTCCAAATGAATAATAATGTTGTTCTGTAATTGCTGGTAGTGTAAATAGGCAACTGTTAGCTTAACAAGTTGGCCATATTAACTTACAATGTATATGTCAATGTCAATATGTCAAAAATGTGTTTGTTTCTGCTGCCAAAAAAATTACTTATTACAGGTTTAAAGATGTTTTTTATTTAATCAATCATGATTTTTACTACTAATAATAATTACTAAAAGGCTGTGAATAAATATTAATAATGTTGTACGGTGGTATATCAAGCTTTATGAGTCCTGACATGGCACAGATTCCAGTGTGTGTGTCTGTGTGTGTTATTGAGCCCGTTTGACATGCATGCAGACTAATGGGGGGTCCTACATAAGATGTCTGTGGTTAAACTTAAAGAACGATGCTACTCTCTTCAGAATACCTTCAGCACAGAGGTGATTGATCTTTACTCATGCCGTTTTCTTAGGGCTGTCCATAATCCTCCTGAACTGAGCATTACAGTTGTCAAGCCTGCTGTTAGTGCCCTATCAACTTTGCACATCGACCATATGTATAGACTCACGGAAATAGAATAGGTGGTATCGATTCAGATACAGAAATTTATTTTCCAGGGACATACCATAAGAATCTTCATAGCTTGTTCTGATTTAAAATCCACTTAAAGAGTTTGTGGATAAGACACGGAAAGACGGGGGGGGGGCTTGTTTTAAGAGTGTTTCCTATAATAAATAGACATGTCAGACTAACGACAAAAGGTTTGTGTAAATCTGTCCAAGTGGTGGAATGAATAGCACAGTGGTGGCAGCAGATGGATGGGCTCCCTAGCAAGAGGAGGCTCCCAACGCAGATGCACTTTTCCCTGAGCATGCGGTAAATAAGCCAACACTGTAAATTGTTTACCCACAAACACCTAATAGCTCATTAATACAGTGTGCCGACAGGTAGGGAGGTACTTTTGATGATGTTAGCACTGGAGGATGCTTGGCGCGCCTCATAAATCCATCCTTTTGCTCAGCCTTGCTTCACTTGAGGGGCAGTTAAACTAGAGCCGGATTGCCTGTAAGACTTCTTTTTGCTTTCCAAAATAAGTCATTTAAAAGGTGAGCTTCAGAAATGGAACAAAACATCCTCCTGGCCACTGATAAAAGGCGCATGGCACAAAGCTTAGCCATTAAGCCACAGTCAGGATTCATGCAGTTTGTTTTTGTGGCTGTTTTTTTACAGTTTGTTGCATGTTAGCTTCTTCCACATCTCATGGCTCTCTAGGTGGAATGGATTCAACTTATTTCCATGGCTGCAGGCAAAATGGTGTGCAGTAAACAGCATCTTGGGTGAGCTGTGCTAAGTTGTACTGAGCTGTGCGGGCCTGAAGACAGATGAGCAACATTAATCACAGGCTGGGGGTCTGATTACATAGCCCTGCTTCTCTTAAGTAAAGCTGTCCCTGGAGCGTTACATGGGGATGGCACTGCTAGTCTGGCATCACACTGGATGCTCAGCTCTCCTGTCATGCTGTAGCTCCATCTCTCCCACTAATGTCTCACTGATGTTAGTCAGCATAGGTAAAGTGTCACATGAAGAGTCTGTCCTTCATTACGGTTACCAGCTGGTGAAGTTCAAGTCTCAGATTCTTGGTTTGGCAAAGACGTTAAGATTCATTAACACTAGATGTGATAATGAATTGTGGAAAGAGGGGTCAGGTCATTGTGTGACTAAAAATGTTAATTTGTCTGTTTCTTAGTTAAAGTTATTAATGGGCAAGTAATGGAGAACAGACAAAAGGGTAGAGGGACAGTCGGGTAACTGTTGTATGTATGTTATAAAATAATTAGTGTGGCATTTTCATTTTAGACCAGTGGTTCCCAACCTCTGCTAAAGTGACATATTTTATAGATATTTCATATTATATTAAAAACTGTGCAAGTAACTCAAATAGTGAACTCATTAACAGCAAGAAGCTTGCATAAATTTATCAAATTTCAGATTTCTGTTTAGGGAACTTTTTATACAATTCTCTCTCTGTATTTTTAAATATTTTATTATATTTTTTGTCCCTGATGTTTGGCTTTTGTTCTATTAGACAATTTACATTAACTTTATTTTTCATTTACATTTCTTCAGAAGTGAACCAAACACATATAGGTCCTACTGTGTAAATTTTCATTTACTCACTAAGTTTATTTACATGCCATAAAATCAAGAAGGACTCGCAACCCCCCCATGAAGCTAGTGGGGGTCCCGCCCACACGTGTTCACTTGCTGACTAATATATCCCACCCACTCACAGGTGCCATGATGAATCAGTGTTATTCACTTCACCTGTCAGTGCTCATTATGTTGTGGCTGATCGGTGTATAAACAATAAGACAATAAAACAATGATGATTACGATGATGTATGTAATGGTATGGTAACAGTCCAGAAGTAGACATTAGTGGGGTGGGTGTGGATAATGTTGTTATTGAGTCTGTTTGAAAGTTGGTGTATGGGATAAGGAGTTGTGTGTGTGTGTGTGTCATAAATTTCTACATAATGAGACACTATAGGCAAGCAATTGACTTAAATAAATTTTTCATTTAAATTATATGCCATAATGTTTGCAGTTAATCTGATTTACACCACATGCAAAAGGGAAGTTTATACTAGCTAGAACTGAAACAATTAGTCAAAAAGATTTAATAGAGTAGTCGATGGAAAAAAAGCTATTTCCATTGAGTAGCTGTTTTGATAACTGATTAATATGTTTTTAAAGCAGAAAGTATCACTATTTGCTGCTTGTATTAGTCATCAATGACATTGAACTAAATGTCTTTGGGTTTTGGACTAAACAAGTTGTGTAGCACAATTAATTGAAATATAATTAAATTTGCAACATGGCCAAGGGCAATATCAAGATAAGATAAAATGTGTGACAAACAACATTATAATGAAGTACTGTAGAGCTTCAGAGATACCCTGATCTACAAATCTTTAAAGAATTAAAGAAAACATGTTTGTTTGGTACAGACCACAAAAAGTAACATCATCATGATTTTAATAGGCTTTTTTATTTCAGTGAAAATTAAATTTGTGATGCAATGCGAAGTTTTTAACATATCGTACAGGCCTAAAAACAAGTAATATTGACTGTATATGTCTGCCTGAACTCTTTTTAGGACATAATGATTAATTGATTAACCGATAAAACAGTCGACAGATTAATTTATAATGAAATTACTTTATAGTTGCAGCTCTGTTACAGTCATTCCTCAACCTTTTAACAGCAATATAAAAACATCTGTAAAAGAAATATTGTAAAGCATAATCCCAGTTGTGTCAATTATACATGAGTATGTTGTGAGTTTCAAAAACTCACATAGCAAGAACTTTACCAAAGAAAAAGCTGCTTTTTCAAAGTCCTCTCATGCCTGCCACTTGTTCTTGGAATTTTTTAGTCTCCGTAAGTGAATGAATTTCCCATTTAGCATGTTTGAGTGAATGACCACATGTGCCACTGAAAGCCCACAGCCCATCACCCATCAGTCTGCAATGCCGTGATGAAAACGGTCATACAGTATTTCAGCCACATCTGTTATAAACTTTAAACATATTGAGCTTATGTGTTGCAATTATTGATCCCTCAAATCCCACGGCACATCGTTTCCCCTTGTGGTCACATCTGGTTGAGGAGTCATCCATAACACTCTTTTATTTGGTATTTTTACAGGCCTGGTATAACACCATCACATCCTTTCCTGTCAGGGACGGCATCGAGCTGTTTTACCCTAGTAGGCCAAGTCAATCAAAGATCAACCTTTACTTTCTTCACAAGCATTATTCTTTACACAGAAGGAGGTTTTGTTTCTAGGAATCGTCTATTGTTGCATTTGTTCAGCCTTTGTGGAAGTATCATCCATTTAAAGTGACT